AGCCAGCCAGTCGCCTGCAGAGTCTCAGAGACAGAGATACTATAACAAGGTTTGACAGAGAGGTGAGCACCTACTTCAGTTTAGCCATGGTCGTACCCATGTAATACAATGCAGCAGTGGAGGTGTAAGTCCCACTGTTTTACAGGTAGATCACGATGGAGCCGGAAAACATGATGTCCCCCTGGCCATCCGTACGAGGGTCAAGTTTCGAGAAGCAGCAAAAAGAGTAAAGCTTAAAATAAAATTGCAGTCTTTTCATGAACATATAATTTCTGTCATTGTGTTGACTTATATATCTTTGGAAATACAGGCAGTAAAAGGTCTACCAACTGCTGAAGAGGCATACGGTTTCTTTACATACAACTTTGAGCCAGATCCAAAAGATGGGACTGTGAGGATGAGCAGGAAAAAACAAAAACAAAGAAAAACAGTTGAGGAGGACATGGGTGAAGCTGATGAGCAGGAAGACAGTGAAGTAGATGAAGATAATCAAGATGAAAAAATTGGCCAGGTAAGAATGACAGCAATATTATTCAATAAGTATGAAATAAGTCACAGAAGAAAAGGGTGCATCTTCCTCTTAATTGTCATTCCCAAACTCTCTAACTGTGCCTGTAGGTTAAACCTTTCCAATTAAGACTGATATAAATTGTGAATGACATAAAAACAAGTTTGCAAATTATTTTGAGGTTTAGTACTGCTGCATAAAGTAATAATTAACATTAAAATACCATCATGATTTTGACCTTCAGAGAGTTGGGACCATATTTATTGCAGATTTGAACCCTCCATCTTTGCACAGTATCATGATTATCTATACCTGCGCTGGTTCCAAATGCTTGATTTTGTTCATCCCACCTTAGAGTGAAGAAGTTCCTCTTGTGCAAGAGGAAGAGGAGGGTTTATTTGCCATTCAGCAGTCATCCCAGGACTTTCTGGAAGTGAAGAAGGCCGAGTATAGAGGGTACCGAAAACTTATTCAGCGAGAAAGTGAGCTCCTCTTTACGCCAAGCTTTCGAACAGGTATTCTATAATGTAATAAACCATCTTACTCACATCCACAACTTTCAGATACTGTGTAATGTCAGCTTTAGAATTCTGTTCAGCATATTAACTATCTTCTAAATCTGCTACCTGCCTTTACGTGTAATTGTCACAGTTCCAGTCGCCATTAAATTGCCAGAAAATATGAAGCCTCGTTACCTGGAGGATGAAGGTCTATATGTAGGTGAGAGGCCCTCTGTATCCCTGACCAACGAGAACATCCTGGAGAACCGTATTTTGAAAATGGAGGAGGTAACATTGTTCAACACAAGAGCTGCTTGGTAGTGTCATAGGCTCAACAATGTTATATAACATATCACTTTTATTTGTTAAGGGAAAGAAGTGGTTTGGTGATGATGGCAGGATCATAGCTCTGCCTGACCCCATAAAGGAATCATCTACTAGACCCCCTCTCATCCACATGGAGGAGGACCTAGACCCTGCACTGCAAACTGTGTACAAGAAGGTCAGACATGCCCACTATGGCTCTCATTTCTAAAGCACTGTGCACATTTATATGCTGAAGGTGCCTCAGATTTGAGTGTTCTTTAACCCCTTTGGCATTTTAAAAAACAGCTAAAGGGCAGTTTGGCATTTGGTACAAAGGAATACGGAGGAGGGGGCGTTTGTTATCATGGAGCAAAGTGAAGGTGCGGGCTGACGCATCTGTGATGCGATCTTTACAGACATAGAGCTACATCATAACTCCAACTGGCTATTGTGTGCAATAAAAGTAATACAAGCTGTAAAGTTATCTTTTACATCTTCTTTTTACAAAACATGTACAACCAAAGCCAAAATCTTTAACCATATCACAATCCCTAATCCCCCAAATTAACGGGATATTTTCTTTTTATTTGGTTCAAATGGTCACATTAGCACAGAGGAGAAAAGTGCACACGTTTTGGTTCTGCCTTCTTCAGTTTGATGGATCTCAGTAAGCCGGCCCTCTTCTTTTGTACTATCTACAGGTATAAAGTATAAGAAAATAGTGAAATATGTCCCTCACAATTCCCCAAAAACACACAATTTCCCAAACATTTCTGGTTTTGTCCAATCAATAGTCCAAAAGCCAACAATATTTTGTGTACTAGTATATAGGACAAGAAAGCAGAAACTCCTCACATTGGAGAAAGCAGAACCAACAAATGTTTTGTGTTTTTATTTCAGAGAAGTGACTATTTACTCATTATCAAAACAGTAGCAGTCAGTCGACGATAGAAATGTATTCAATAGCTCCTGGGTTTTCACTGGTTGATTGGTTAATTCATAAAGGACAGTTATGTTTTGTATTATTAACCAATTGTAACATTGCATGGTCCATCTGCATCCTTATGAGAAACAGCCAGTTCTAGACTTTATTCACTAATCTCAGATTTGGAATGGCCTGACTGGCAGTACAGCCAAAATATGACAAGTATGTAAACCTAGAATTAACTTAGGCGATGCAGGTTTACACAGAGCACTGTTCACATCTGGTTCAGTGGTTGAGAGAATCTGAGGGTGGAAACAAGTGTGCATCTTTATCATCAAAGACCCGTTGTGTTACACATTTATCATTTATTCTGGCATGTCTGGTTTTGCTTATGGAAAGTTGTTGTCATGCATGACTTTTCATTATAGCATTCCCTGATGGGATTATTAACTTTGCCAAGTATTTCATGCTTCTTTTAAGCTTACACACATACTCTCATTAGATAAACATGGGCAAAGCATGAGCACTGATGATCTATAAGGATGATTTTTTCCCAGAACATTGATGATGAATGATGTCATTTTATCCCCAGGCGCTGAAATCCAAGTATGCAGGTCTGTACATTTCGAGTGCAGCAGACCCTGAGGGGGACTACCAGCTTGATGTTGATGTCTCTGGGCTGATCTTCTCCCATCACCCACTATTCAGTCGTGAGCATGTCCTGGGGGCCCGTTTAGCTCAGCTGTATGATCAGTATCTCACCAGGCAGCACAATAACCTCACGGGGCACCTGACTGACAAGGTAAACTTGACCAGCCAATTGTGTCTCCATAGTAATGCTATGTGGTTGACTTTTTCAAACATCCTAACATTTCTGAATATGTTTTATAAATGCCTTGTTTAATTTAAAGAGGACACATACATACATGTGTATCCAGTGTGTCATGTGTTTGTTTCCCTTTGTAGTTGAATGGATTGAGGAGAGGTCTGCGGAACATGCTTGAGATACATGGTGGGCAGTGCCTCACTCAAGCAGTGCAGCAAAGGATATCTGAGTACAGTCTGGAGGTTCAGTGAGTTCCCCAGCTTATCTTCTATTCAATTCCTATTTATCCTAGATCAATTTACAGTGCCCTTGATGCTATGACAAGCAGCTTTTCCTTTTTCTGTATATTTTCCTCCCTGAACATCACAGGAACACTCGGCAGCTGCGAGACAGCGAGCAGGAGAAAGACAGGACTTTGCTGAAGAACATGGTTAAAGTATGGAAGGAGATCAAGGCCCTGAGAGAGTTTCAGAAGTTTACCAACACACCATACAAGCTCTGCCTCAGAAAGTAAACCTCTGTCATTGTTCCCAAAGAACATCTGTTCACTGATTTTAGTGGATAATGTGTCTACAATCTTGTTAGTGTCTACTGATACTTGTATCCATGTATATCATTAATGTTTTCTCCAGAGAGAATGTCGACCGGGCATCAGATAAGCAGGAATATGAAGATGAAATCTTGGCAGAGGTTGTGGAATTGGAGGCAGAGAGTGAGATGGATTACCAGAGGAAGCTGGCTGAGTACAAGAAACAGCTGGAGGAGTGGAAGCTATGGAGAAGGAAACAGGTGCATACCTATTTACTATTTATTTAACATAGCTTGGTCAGTTTCTTACACATGAATATACTGCATTCTATTGTACAGATTAAATATGTTAATTAGCATCATTAGTACCACAGTAAAAATAAAAGAAGTTGGAAAGTAGGACAGCCTCATATATTGTGTGCATATACAAACATATACAGACACCCACACATTCTGTATCTTGTTTACTGTTTTCAGAAAACCAAGAAGAAGAAGAGAAAAAAGAAGAAGAAAAGCCAGGCACAGGGTGACACAGAAGATGAAGATGAAGACCAAGAGGTGAGCGAATCAGAAGGACCTGCTGAAGAAGGCCCTCCAAAGCCAGAGCCTCTAGAGAAGCCAGACCTCGACTCTATAGAGCAGCAAGTCAGAGAGAAAGCCTCCAGGATACGCAGGAAACCAGGCGAGTCCATCCTGATCCCTGAGTTGTCTGCATCTGGAAACATCACCGCCTATGAACTCTGCCCCAGGTATGAGCAGAAATACTGGAAAACAGACACAAAAGAGATTTTGAATTTGAACTAGTGAACCAATGTCAACCCCTGACAAATTCTCACATACGTCTTTTGAGAGAAGTAATATGATAACACAGACTCACAAAGATGCACTGCACTTGTGGTAATGTGGATGCTTTTCATCACCCTTGTTTATTCTTCATTCTAGGGCTGAAAAAGCTCGGAGAGATCATGTTGCAAAGTGCTTTCTATTCATCAAGATTCTATACAACAACAAAGAAGTTTCCCAAACTGACAGCCGCTCCCTCAGCACTGATTTCAGAGTGCACTTTGGTCAGATTTTCAATCTCAAGATAGTTAACTGTCCCCAAAGCATCAATTTGCAGGTACACCACAGAAGCATTTAGTGTGCTGCCATTTTGTTTAATCCACACAGCTTCTTGGGTGATGGCTACAGGAACTGTACTCTTTTCTCACCGTTTCTGCATGTGTGTGGCTGTGTACTTTGTATGCATGCAGGTGTTTGAGGAGATTGGATCATCCTGTTCCCTCCTGGCTCAAGTGTTTGTTCCACTTCCAGAACCCTCAGGCTTGACCGGTAGTGTCCCTCTTGAGGAATTCGAGTTTAGCAGCAACCAGAGAGTGATGTTTGACCATGAAGGAGTTGGAAGTGGTGAATGTCTTCTTTTGACACAAGCCAAGAGCTGAAATACTGTCACCTACAAATACAATCCCACTCCAAGAGTACCTTTATATTTCAGTATCACATCACCTACCTCCTGTTTCTCATCCTGTCCATACGCCTCGTCAGATGTCCCTTTGTCCTTCGAGGCTGATGGCAGTAACAAACAGATCCTGATGACCTCTGGGAAGCTGGCATGCTGTGTGTCCTGGGGGACTGGGGAGGACGGCACACCGCTCGCCCCTCCTGTATCTCAACAACCTAGCGGCATACGCAGGTAGTATCACTTAAAGGACGGTATCAGCTGTTTTGCATGTTTTAGCCTATGAACTGCACATCCTGTATGATTTTATCACTGCTGACCATGTTCCAAAGCGTACCACAGGTGTTAATATTTATGAATGCATTTTCTGCCCTCCAGGCAGCCAATGATTTTTATTTATGTCAGCAGTGTATGAAAACCCAGCGGCTTGCTTAGACTTGAAACTTGTTTATTCTAGTTTTTATATTTGCATCAGAGGTTATGTAGCAGGGGAAGCTTCTGACAAGTATTCTGTATTGAACCCTTCACAAACCAATGGCAGTGATAACAGCATTATTGCAATACCGTACTACTGACAAGCCAACTGCAGGGGACAGCAAGCAACTAGAACCACCACAATGTGAAGAATCCTCTTTGCAAGTGATACCACCTGCAGCAAAAAGAAGACTTGGGGAACTGTTGAAGTCACGGACGACCACCTCCACATCCTTACCTAAGAGAGCTCGAGCGGAAATCAAACTTGCGCAGTACCTACTGGAGGAGCCCATAGACTCAAATGGAGATCCACTTGCCTGGTGGCACAACAACCAGTGTAGATTTTCACTGCTTTCTCTGCAAATACATATCTATTTGTGCACTGAGCACACGATCTTTAGTGATGTTGGGAACACTGATACCCCTCTCTGATCCTCTGAAACCACATACAGTAAGGTTAACATGTTAGTTTCCTATCACACAACAAGGACGTGGAAACTCAGGTCTAAATATAGATGTTATTCTTTATGCTAAAAAATGAAAGTATCATTCTCCTCTTTCAAATTCAAGTCTCACTAATTTTGGTGCAGATTCCTAAAACATTGATGCTGGAGTAATCCAATGGCAACTGATTTTCAATTGCTTTCTCCTGTGCGTTTTAGTGGTTTGGGCTATTTTGATGCTGTCACATATATTGGGGCATCTGGACTATATGATATGAAAAAAATTGGAGAGTGGGCTACCCAGTCACGACTAGACCCCAACGATCCAAAAAATGCTTCCATCATGCAGCTGCTAAAAGTGGGTACCAGAATATAGTACTTCTTTACAGTATTTGCAGTTTTTTTCCTTTTGAAATGAGAACAACCTGTGGCTTGCCAGGTGGCCAGTGGCGGAGAGGTGACAGCTCCAGAGTACTTCCGGCTGGAACAGTTGCAGCAGGAGTTTGACTTTGTGACCGATGAAGAGCTGGATAGGTCCAAAAGATTACGGCTGCTCAGGCTCAGGAACCAGGAAGTTGCAGAGTTTCGAAATTACAAATGTGTTCCTGCTCTGGAGAGGGAGGTCACAGATGAAGTGTTCCAGGTACATCTGTGCTGCAGAATATAATGGATATGGTTGAAAGAGGATGTATCAGTGCAATTCTTTTATTTTTTATTTGCTTATGATTTCAGGAGTATGAGAAAAGACTGAAGGAGGGAGAGATAATTGATACCAAAGAACATTTGGATCCCCACAGAGCTTTAGTGGCCAAATACCTTCAGAAGGTGAGCATCTGATATAAACATGTTTCAAGATGGCACTAAGGCTACATTCATGTTAAAGGCCTTAATGCTTAATTCAGATTTTGTAGTCCAATCTGTTTGTGCTGATGGTTCATGTTCATATTTGTAAGTGACACTGCTGAGCTCCTAAACTGCCATGCATGCACACATTTAACTGAAATGTGAGCATGCATGGAATACCAACATAATTTGTGCACATTTCAAATCATGTCATTCCCTGAAAAACTGCTCAGTTACGGTTTGAATAGAAACTCTATAAATGTTCAACTAAAGTGAAACATCCTCATCTCTCCACTGACCTCTGAGGGGGGCAAACTCCCTGTTGAAGCCAAACTGGCATGAACATGTCATAGCCAAGCAGCTTTTGTGGGAAGTGCACAATTTGACCATCACAGACATGACATTATTGTTGTTATTCTTGTGTATATATATATATATATATATA